AAACAAGTGAAACAAGTGAATTTATTTCTGCAAATAGGCTACAAGGCAGCACTTTTACACGTCAATTTTATCAAGCGAACGATGAGGTCGACATTTCCTAACTGACTACTCTGAGAAGAAATGCCGAAACAAACTCAGAGGTCTGTCTCTTTTAAAGTCCAGACAATATGTATAACAGATTATGTGTGAGAACCGTGCCAGTTCTTTCTGTAGTGGGCTTTTGAGGAAAGAACCACAACAGTTTGAGCGGACCCGTTCTGAAGGCAGTACGCATGTGTCGGTTTACAGTCAGCTCAATTAACAGGTGAGGCTGACTGATTCGACGAACAATACCAACCTAAAGAACATTTGCGTGGGTCGCACAAATACTCAAACTGTCAGAAAAAGGGTAATTAGAAAAGAAATGGTGAGGCAAAGTCTCGCACGGTCCTAGCACTAACAATTGTTAAATAAAAAGTAAATGTCAAGTTAGAACAACATATGAAAAACAATGTCACATTAAAACAATAATGTCAAATTGCATATAAAAAAAAGAAATGTAACTATATGTTACAAACATGTCAACATGACCTGTGTGGACGTTACAGCAGCTTATTCCCAAGCCAGACTATCATCTAGGTAGTCTTTTATTTTATAATAAGCTTTACTATAAAATTTATCTTTAATGACATTTTTAAATTTATTTAGACTCAAATTTTGGATATGGCTGGGAATCTTATTGTAAAAGCGTATACTCTGACATCTAAACGAACCACTTATTTTCTTTAGTCTAGTAGTGGGAACAACATATTTGTCTTTATTTCTCGCTGCCTGCCTGTTTTTAAACGTAGTTTATTTTTATTGACTAATCAAATTCTCTCATCGTGAAGCCGTTATTGCTACGTTCAATAAAATTATTTTCCTTTAAGGTCCTGTGGCCCTCAACAAGAGGCTAAACTTGCTGTTTTATCTTCTTAGCACAGTAAGAGTTCAACGAGGTTTTAATATTGTAAAAAACCGTCGCGGTTCCGTCGTAGTGCGGTCGGTGTGTTAAAACTGCGAAGTGTCATAAATATCGAGGTGGAAATTAGCATGTAGTTCATAGAGAACTAGTGTCGGAGTCAGGACCCAGTGACATCCTCTCCAATGCGTGCCTAGCTCTCCGGTTTGGGCGGATGTGTCGGTGACCGTGACCGTGACCCAGGTGGTTTTAGTTGGTTGGAGTCTGACACGCCCACTTCACCACTACGTTCTTTCGATTAAGTGAAACCGAGTGCAGTTCCAGTTTGAGGAGTGGCTTGAGAGACGCTACGGCGTCCTTACCTACTGCCTGACGCAGGTCCTCACCGGACATGGGAGCTTCGGGAGCTACCTGTGTCTAATAGGGACTATCACTACGAGGACCGCCCGGAGGACACCGTGGAACACACTGTATGGGCATGTCCTGCGTGGGCTGGGCACCGCCGTGCCCTTAGGGATGTGATTAGGGACGGCGACATCTCGCGTCCGGCCCTAGTGTGGGTCATGATGCGGAGCGAGAGGGACTGGGATGCCGTCTCCTTCTTTTGCGAAGCAGTCATGCTAGCTAAGGAGGAGGCGGGGCGCATGAGGCAGTGGAGCGTTGCCTCATCACAACCTAGTCGTCGCGAAGGACACTGCGGGCCACGAGGATCGCGGAACGATCTCCGGCTACCGTAAGCACGGGCCTGTGGACAGCGAGCATGCCGCCGCCCGACCAGAACCAGACCCGAGGGTTTCGCCTCAAAGATTCATCAGGCCACCACAAATGGGGCCCAATAGGGCTGATGCCGATACGGAGCCGCGGAAAACTTAACGGGTTACCGGGGCTACGGCTCGAAGTGCAGAAGTAGCAACGGGGTGTGTTTTTAGTCAGTAAGAGTCTGACACTCCCTTCCGCCTCATCCAGGCGGGAGAAGTCATTCGATGAGGTCCCCTCCTTAAAAAAACCGGCTTACAATGCAGCGCATCAGAGTATTCGTGTGAAGTGCTTCATTGCACTCTGCTCTACGTTTAATTTAATTCTGCAAATGATCACACCGATTACCTCATGGTAACAGCCAGCACCGCCCACGGACGCAACACTAAAGGAATTTCAAGTGCATTACCCATCTTTTGGATGTCAGGAAATTGGGTATAGGGGACGGGTGACGGAATATTGAACCCAAAAAATATAAAAGTGCCTTGCAAACGGGTTATTACTCATATCTGGAGTAACCCGAGTAACTATTGTATTTAACTCGTCGAGTACCGGTTTTGTAGACACAATTATAGAACAATAGGTTGCGGTCACCGGTGACCGCTTGGTGTTTGACAGTTTAATAATCTTGAAAGACGTGACTGATATGTAATAAAATGCAGCTAGTTTCCATGAGCGTGTAATAATGAGTGTTCTGTCGCAGGGACGTGTCCAACAACAACATCAGCACGCTGCCGCGCGACGCGCTGCTGCCGGCGGCGGGGCTGCGCGAGCTGTGAGTACCAGCCAGTCAGTACTAGTAGTTGTAGCAGAGGGCGCGAGCGTGGTGAGTGGCATGCGTTGTGTGCGCAGGAACCTGTCGTCCAACCGGCTGGAGTCGGTGTCGGCGGGCGCGCTGGGGGGCGCGGCGCTGGCGCGGCTGTGGCTGGACCGCTGCGCGCTGCGCCGCCTGCCCGGCCACGCGCTGCGCGACCTGCACCACCTGCACTTCCTGTGAGTGCCGCACCACCACCGCCACCACCATTGCCACCACCATCGCCACCACCACCGCCACCATTACACCAACACGTACAAACTATAATGCGCATATCTCGAACCTTTTTATTGTTGACTCGCCATAATCCACTGTACCTACTTAAATATCTGGGTTCGATATTACAACACATTAAGTACACAAACCCACATTCCCGTAGTCTAGCTCAGAGTCATTTATTTAAGTCGTTGTCTAGAAGTACTGCAGGCGAGAAGTGCCCATTCTCGTAGCCACAGATATATTAATTCTGTGGTCGTAGTCGTAGCTCTGTCGGGTTATTTCACTTAATACAGAAGACTACACATTAAGTAGTATTTACAAATTAGAATCAAGACCGGCGCGCACCGACACAAAGAAATGCTCGGAAGCTTTGGCGTGAGTTAGCAGAGTGTGTGACTGTGTGGATGAAGAAGCGCGGCGCTCACGAGTCGCGCGGCTGTGTGTTTTATACCCCGTCCCGCGCGGCGCCGCCTCTATGGTCGATGGCCATACTAATGCGCCGACACCCATCAAACACCTTTTTCCACACAGAGAATTTTATTGACGGAATGATGTCTTTAATAAATAGTAATGTACGACTACTGTTCACGTAAGGCGCACTTCATGCGCATGCTTTCATCGATTTTAAGGCGAATGCTTGCATTTTGCGAAGGAACTACAGCGTCCACGATGCGGCAGAGTCACGACGTCACATCAGCCACTCATGTATACAAATCGCATGCATTCGTCTAACGACGCGTCGCCGGCGTCGCAGATAGTTGACCAAGTGGCCAAATAATGGCAAACGTAAACATTGAAGTTGTTTGTGTCGCCAGTCGACCGCTACTAGGTACCGGCACAACGGCACACCGCACAGAGGCCGCGCTCCGGCTGCAGGTCCGCGCCATCCGCGCCGCGCGCCGACAGGCGGCGCCTTGTGTGTGTGTGTGTGTGTGTGTGTGTGTGTGTGTGTGTATCGTTCCGCTAGACATTGCATCCTGCAGCTCTGCACTTCTTTTATTTCATAAAACTATTTACTTGGCAGTTAAATCTTAAGAAACATTCTGCTAAATGTTGATAAAATAAGTATTTACCTACTTATTTAAAGGTAATTACATAGTAAATTTAATTAGGTATAGAAAATAGTTATATTCTCGTGCAGTGAAGTTCTTAACAAGTGGTAAAATCGTGCAATGAAGTGACAGGTGACAGGCGCCGGCGATGTGGTAGGAGCGTGCGAGCCGCGCGCCGCGAGCTTTCACACGGGGCCGGTGTCGGCAAGTCGAGTTCGAACTACTCGAGCAGGCCAGGCCGCCAGTCATTGCCAGGCACGTAATACGCCCGCGGCGTTTTGCGAATCTCTTGCTAAACGAATACAAGTATCGAGGTACGACTATCAATACTAATGAGGGCGAGTGTCGCGCGTTAGAGGACGGTGAAGCTCTGCGCCTAATACCTTTCAAATGTGGCTCAGCGCTCCACATTGCACAAGCACACGACACGTCCGCTCAATGCCGCCCGCTTGCCTGTGACCTACTGCACTCCGCACTGTTTAGTAGCTACTCGACAGTCGACACATGACGTGTACGCCACGTCACTGCGCGTACTACTTGCACAGCTACGGTCAGTACGTACATGACGCACGCGTCGCAGGAAGCTGAAGGCCGCGCGAGGCTCGCCAGGAAGAGGTCACTTCCGCGACCTTGTTCTATTTACATAGTGGTGCCCTCACTCGACGACATCACCTACTCGGTGTCTCGGTGTGCCGGCTCCCTAGTCCCTACAGCTGTACGCAGGGCAGCGCCTACTCAGTCTACAGACTACTAGCTGGATGGACAGTTAAATATAATGCGTTTGATTTTCTTTAGCATAGATACAAATAGGCTTCAGTTTTGGGGATTTCCTCTTCATTTGCGCAAAATTAGCGGTATTTTGGGGTCTGGTCAGATTTGGACAGTACGAAAGCAATTCGGGCAATTTTGCCATCGATTTAATTTATCTATTCGTTATTGTTCCGATTGTGAGGTCGCGCGGTGTTCACTTTGCACCAAGTTGTCGTGCATCCAAATATTTATTCCCGATAATAACCAACACATTTTTATCTTTACAATTTACGATGTCAGTACATAGATAGTCCTTTCCTTAGTGATATTTAATAGATTTTGCACCTTCAGCAGCTATATTTATCCGTAATATATCCGTAATATTGCTTACTTTTAATCGCCACACAAATATCAATTACTTCTTTTATTATATCTATGACCGCAGCAGCAGTAAGCCTTGAAACGCACAGGCTGACAAGTTTCATTGCGACCAAACCTACATTCAAAGTCAAAGTCAAAGCATTTATTTCAATTAAACCATAGTTTGGTACTTTTGAAACGTCAACCAATACAAAATAAATAATAGTCTGTCAGTCAGTCCGTCAGTGAAGCTAGGTGAAGCTAGGTGCTCATTCCAAAACGTAGATTCGAATGGAGAAGAACGAGCAAGAAACTCCATTCGTTACTCTTTTAAAAAAGTATGTTCTACAATGTCTCTGATACATATTTCAATACTGTACGCATATGTAAGAACAATGCAAAGACACGCTTGACGCATTATACTAATAACTTACTAAAATAAAAATAAAAATAATAAAGATCTTAAGTCCAACATGGTGCTCACATATGCATACTGACAATCCATAGAAATAGTGCTTCTATACAAGAAAAAGGAAACTCTTTGTTTCAATAAAGAAAGAAATGCATTAAAAGTGTTTTACTGTTTCCCTTTATTTGGTGACGTGTCGGTGTCGCAGGTCGGCGGAGGACAACTACATCGCGGAGCTGGAGGCGGGCGCGCTGTGGGGCTGCCGCGCGCTGCGCTCGCTGCGGCTGGCGCGCAACCTGCTGCGCGCGCTGCCCACGCACGCGCTGGCGCCGCTGCGGCACCTGCAGACCCTGTACGTGCACGCCTCGACAGCCGTCCAGAAGTCCATGTAACACAACGCAGCACTAGTGAATGGCTTTCTGTGCTCAGGAACCTGGCCGGCAACCTGATCACCGAGCTGAGCGACACGGCGCTGCCGCCGCTGCCCGCGCTGCATACGCTGTGAGTATACAAGGCGTCTCTACCGCCACCATTGATTACTCTAATAACGATAGCGAAAATCATATACAATATTTTGTGCAAAGGACAAACTAATTCCGGAGAAAGACACTTTCTCCGGAATTAGAAAGAGAGAAAGTCTCTTTCTCCGGAATTAGTTTTTTGAGACGAGAAAAACACCGAGTGACTCTTCCTGTACGAGCTGATAGGCAATCACGCCGTTGACGCGATGACGAAGTAGTTTACGTTACTGACACTGATACATGTACTTTTATTAATTAGTTTTACAATAAACTAAATCCAGTAGTACGGACACAATACGGCGAAGTTATTTCCTGTCAAGTGTCGACATCCCGCCTACTGAACCCCAACTCTACCACATCGTCAGACCCTTATTGATAATTACACCCCACCCAGGTGTAAAGTCCTCATCAATACAAATTAATCAAACCCAAACACAAGCTACTGTTAACCATTGAGCAGTTTCCTCGACTGACTCTCGGCTCCATTAACAAATGCACTAGTCGTCGCTATAATTTTTAAAAGTTCCCCTCGGTTTCCCTGGTCTTCCATCATCAGATCCTGATTTCCTTATCATGGGACCATTCTGGAACTATCTCCTTTCCAACAAAAAAGAATTTTCAAAATCTGTTCATAAATAACGGAGATGTCGGCGAACAAACATAAAATAAGCATATATGTATACGGTCGAATTGAGAACCTCCTCCTTTTTTTGAAGTCGGTTAAAAATTAAACTTTTTGAAAATGGTGTCAGTCCTTGCGCCAAACACGTAGCGTATTCTTTTATAAGGCCTTTTTTACAATCATAATCATTATGTCAATAAGTTAAATAAATAATGTTCGCATTATCATTACAAACCAACTATCTATTGTCATTATATTTGTCCCAGTACTTAAATACACACACAGCATAATTCACCCCAAATCCTATCTTCCAAGTATTGAGTTACCGAGTAGTACGTCCTGTCGCTAAGAAATTAATTTAGTTTTTTGTTTAATATATGCAAATCGTTTTCCTGTTTAATAGGTTTAGGAATTTTATTGTAAATTCTTGGTTCTATAATCCCATACCTAGAAGACATTTACCACACAAAGCTGTTTTATGTGGATGGGCGCATATTTCGTGCTCACCACGTTTGGATTTTAATGCCTCAAACAAATTTTACATGCATGTGTAAGTTAGTATTTTGTTTTTTTTAACGAATAAAGCTATTTCGTAATAATTGTAGGTACATGCATGGGGAAGTTAGTATTTTGTTTTTGTTAAAGTAAGGTTTACAGCTATTCAATTGTGTTTGTTTCAATTTATACATGGCTCGGATACACTTTGTTGGGCTTTAAATACAATAGGTATCTCAGTAGCATTACCCCAGTATAAACCTCCAAAACAGAAAACAGACGCTGCATTAGCATTACATGCTACCAATACAACTGTTTCACTCACTTTTTGGCAAGTTGTGGAGTGCATAGGCATATTTGTTAATTCAATTTGATAAGATATTTATATGGTATTTCCATGTTTTTAAAGATATCGCCCGTAGGCTAATCGACTCTACACGTGACCAGAGCGCTGACTTTTCCTTCGGACAGAAAATAAGCATTGCCATTCAACGTGGCGATGCTGCCAGTCTTCTGGGAACGTTCCCCTGTGATAGTGATGCGGACGAATCTCGAAATCTTTGACGCCTAAATTAAGGGTATATTTATTTATTTATTTAAGTTTTATACAATTGCATAAGGAGGACTTAATGCTAACAGCATTCTCTGCCAGTCACCAAGTATATCATTTTTGTTGTTTTCAAGTAAGTGGCTAAGTGGCTACTACCAGGAAGTAGAGTCAATGTGTGTTCAACCGGGTGTCACAAGCCTCTTGCTACTTTGATGGGAATTAGAAATCGTCGCCTCTGGTCTGGCAGCGCCGGTGGCGGCAGCGGCGGCGGCGGGACCGCGGCGCTGAAACAGTAATGGAGGTTCCCCGCGCGCTGTCGCGACGCCGACGACGGACGGTTTGCTCGGCCGGCGCCGACTTGCATAACTTATCGGATGCAGGTCAATGAACTATGCTAATTATAATAATATCATAAGACTGTTCGCCAACAATGTACTATGAAGTTTTGTTTGCAATTCCGTTTATTATTTGAAAAGGATTAGGCTGAGCCAATTATTGGTGGTCCACAAATGTTGGTGAACTTGGGAAACTGGGACGGGTCGCGGAGCAGGGCACGCACGGTGGAGCGCTGGGGGGGAGCGGGGTGCGGGGTGCGGAGCGCGGGCCGGTGTCCCCGGAGATTTATGTGCTCATAAATACGGTGAGATGTCTGTGGAGCCGCTAACTCCGCTCGATACGAAGCCACTAATCCTGGACATCGTTAACGTACTCCGCCGTCAAGTGTTGTCAACATGCTACCTATGTTACCCACTAGTGTCGTCTGTCACTATCACTATCGACATAGTTCTACAGCCGATATAGGTACACTACATTAATTAAAAACGGCTGTTGTGTCCTTTATCTGATCACTAAGTTAGGGCACAAACCGGCGAGCTGTCAACCTCATCAGGCCATTGACAGTTATTCTTATTGAAGTTGCCCAAACCGATGGGTTGGAGCAGGCGCTGCTGCCAGTGATTCAGTGGTGACCGTACGTGACTCGACGTATTCCTCGATTTGGGTAGCTAATAAACCAAAGAACTTAAATCTTTTTTTTTTCAAATAGGTAAATACAGTTGTCTACCTATTGATCAACTTAGTGTTGTGTTGTGTGTGTGTTCCGGTGTTTTCATGGATAACCATGAACACAGTAGATATAAATCTACTGTATCCTGACTTACAGGAGTTGCAGTGGTTTTGGGAGGTTGTGGCGGGCTTGTCCCTTAAAAAGATGACGAACGTAGTGGCTCGAAACAAAATATGTATAGAATTTATTAGCTATTTTAAAACGAATGATAAATCTGCTAGTATTAGTACCGTAATATTAATAAATGTTTATTGATTTATTGACAACTGACCAAACCTAAAATCACTTAGGTGAATCTAACCAGTTGGTTTTTATTTATTCATATTTTTGTAGTTAGTTCGGGATTTTTTTACCAAAACCAATAATGTTGCATATCTCAGAAAATAGGTACTTTGAGACCAGGGACTTTAAAGCTAATTTTGTAGGAAATTGTGTTATCACCTCCCGAGCACACGTCGGACGACAAGTCACCCGTATACAAACATTGCATAATGTTGTAGGTACGAGTACGACTATAAATAGTCCACGCAAGGAACTGCTTGTGGTATCTAGGTGGATGTGTGGAGGCGTCCTTACATTCCGCGCGATGCGATGTACCGGAAGATACTGGATGTTCTAACGTATGTACACTATGTACTGGTTATTTTCACACCACTGCGCACTAGCTCGGAGCCGAGCCATTCATATGGATGTTGGCTGCGGATAACATACTTTATTTACATGCTCCACCGATCATTTTATTGCAAAGTCTTAACTAGGCAGAATATCATGAGAGCAATATTATGATGAGGCCACGTCAGTGCTGTAATCACACTGTACCTACATCTATCAATAATGTCTCAAGCCAAGTGCATAATGTTATGGGCCAAGTGATTAACGCGGGCAACATGAATACTGCCCAGCCTTATCAGGCCAAGTGATTAATGCGGGCAGTATGAATACTGCCCAGCCTTATTAGGCCAAGTGAATAATGCGGGCAGTATGAATACTGCCCAGCCTTATCAGGCCAAGTGATTAATGCGGGCAGTATGAATACTGCCCAGCCTTATCAGGCCAAGTGAATAATGCGGACAGTATGAATACTGCCCAGCCTTATCAGGCCAAGTGAATGATGCGGGCAGTATGAATACTGCCCAGCCTTATCAGGCCAAGTGAATAATGCGGACAGTATGAATACTGCCCAGCCTTATCAGGCCAAGTGAATAATGCGGGCAGTATGAATACTGCCCAGCCTTATCAGGCCAAGTAAATAATGCGGGCAGTATGAATATTGCCCAGCCTCATCAAACCAAGTGATTGTAATCTAAACTTTTACCTATTTTTCACATTACCCGGGCATTATTATTATGATTACACGATGATCGTGATATGTGATTAATACGTCAATTTTCACGTGGTATGCTGCGGTTCGGAGCCGGAAACTAACACGTGACACGCGCTAACCAATCAGAGACTGAAACGTGGCGACGTGTGACGTTGGAATAGCCGCACGATGCCATTTCGGCTCGTGATTTTGATTTAGATTCGCATTGAAAATGTTTAGTTTATTAAGATTAACATTATATTCTTATTTTTTTATGGCATAACATAATTATTACCTTATCTTAACAATAATTATTACCCATGAGACTGATTAGTAAGACTCTTTAATTTAATTTTAGAGTTAAGTTTAAGTTGAATAATCGAAGATGTGATTTCCATGGTACCCTTTAGATTGTGCGTTTTATAATTAAACTTACTCTCGCCGAGAAATGTTATATTCTCATTCCTCGCTGCTTGGGAACGCGCTTTCTCGCAATGCTACCTACATGTGAGTGAAACCGAGTGCGAAATACTTCCAAACTGCACTGAAACTACTATGGACTTTCTTTTCTTTTTTAAAAAAACATTGCCTCACACTAGGATTTTCTCCTGTGTCGTGGGTGCGTTTACAAACATACAAGTTCACATACACAATGACACCCAGACCCGAAACAACCATTTGTAGATCACACAAAGTATTGTTCCGTGCGGGAATCGAACCGCGACACGTTGCACGGCAGCCGGTTGCCCAGCCACCGCACCAACCGTGCAGTCGTCTGTCTGGTATGGACTGTATGGAATGGACTATACTTTCTGAATGCAGCCCTTCGTGTTCGCATACATTTTAAAAATAATTACTTTACTATAAAACATGTTTTTATTATTACTCTACCCGACCATCGATTTCATTACTTGTAATCCTGTCTATCTCGTAAATCTAACAAA